ACCCCATGGGAAATTACCTGGGTTTAATGTGTATTGAAGTGCTACTCAGGCTTTGTAAAGCCCAGGCTTTCTCAAATGCCCCAGACATTTGAGAGGTAATGGAAAAGGGTGGGGTAGGTCAGACAGGAAAAGTGATATTTTTCTCCTTTGACTTTGGTCAGTTGATGAGAAAAATAATCTTTGTGAATTTCTTTAAAAAAAAAAAGATCTCAGGCTTATTGCTTTTGAGCCATTGGAAGACTAAAACACCTAACAGCAAAGTCTATATAATTTCTTTAACCTCAGTCCCTTCACCTTTAGGTCAAAGCTCTCATTTTTCTGTCCCGATCTATTGAATATTTTCCAAGCTCTCTGCCAGCTGAATCAATGAGGAGCTATTGTTTGGCAGAGTGCTGCTCTGGAATGCTTACAGCTCAGTTTCCCTCTCTGGAGGTCTGAACATCTACAGCGATGTTTGACCTTACACACAAGCTGTTATGTTCCAAAGGAGTTACAGTGCTGCACTGAAACTCCTGTCAGCTTCTATTAAAACAACAAATCAAAAACTTTGTACACACAGCCCACAACTGTGACCCATTATTTGTTTTTACTTACTGATATCTTTTCATAGTTGATCTTAAAATATTAGACTTACATAACTTTTATTAGACAACTTTTGTCATTTTGTATACACATGGTGTAGACAAACCGAAATTTCGTTTCATAAAGCTTTTCAGAGAGTAAATGAATATTTATATTCCATAAAGTGCAGCAGTGATTAAATTTAAACAGTGTGGGAGAAAAAAAATTGTAAAAACACTCATTGATATGGAAAATTTGAGCATTAATATACAGTATATGGTGCAAATATGGAGTACTTTTAGTTTGGTGTTATTAGTGTGATGCAGAGGCTGTGACATCATTTGGAGTTTTTTCAAAACTCAGCTGTCTGATTACAGTGGGGAAGAAGCTGTTGCAGAATCTACTGGACCTGCATCGACTGCTGTGAATGTCGCTTAGAATGCTTAGAAGTTCGTGAGAATGCTAATCTCTTTTTTTTTAAGAGAGTTCTAGTCAGAGATGATCCATTCTGTTATCCATCGAGCAGACATTGAATTGCAGAATCGTTGTGATAGTTGTTCTGTGAGAATTCCTTCTCAGCTTCGCCATTAGCCCGCCTCTGCAGCCCCTCTTTCGTAGCCTAGCACACCGCCTCCCCCTGCCTTCTCTTCGGTGTGTCCTGCTCTATAATCCCACTGCTCTGTTTTCTTTTATCCAAAGCACTCCGTAGCTTTTTAAATGGCCAAGAGTGGCTGTATTTAAGTGTCCAGAAAAAAACATTTTGTGACCATAGCTCCGGCAGGCGCTGGCGGTCATAGATGTGGGATCGATGCCTGGTTTGTAGCGCTCTAAGCGGCATATATTGTGGAGCTGTCGAGAGCTGTATCAGGCCGCTGCCTGCAGGCGCCGCCTTGATGTATGAACTTCTTACTCTAATTAGCAGAGCAGGGAGATGCAAACAACCAGCCAGCCCAAAAAAACAAAATAAACACTTCACAATAAAGCATTTTGGGGCCCCTCATGAAAGTAACTTTAATCATATGGCACAGAGTTACAGAAGACTTTAGAAGATAATTATATGAAGTGATTTCAAAGATATCTGTAGGAAATGAGATCTTTAATCCTAACAAATCCTTTGTAGCTTTTTCCAATCTCAAATAGAGTTCAACACCTTTCCTCACAAATCCTTGTAAAGTTTCTGGAAGTATTATTCTGATATTAATTTCTCCTAAAACTCACTTCTCATTGAAGCTTTAATAGGCAGTGTATAACTGATGGTGTACTCACGGCACACCAGAACTGGTGCACATTAAAGTCAGGGTTGTGTTGAGACAAGGTATTAAATAAAGTCTTTAAAAAAAAAAGAATGGAAAGGTTTACAGGGTGAAGAAATACATTTGTGGGGAAGAATGTGGAGTGTTTCAATCTGTGGCTGAGAGGGTGCCAAGAGACCGGGACGGTGAAAAAACAAACATTCACAGTTTCATGCATCCGTCAGTTGTGTGAGCAGGTTAGTTTCTCCCACCTGAGGATTGATTGGAGTCTTTCTGTGTGAATCAAAAGTCTCCATCCTCTGTTGAAAAACACTCGAATGGGGTGGAGGAGCAAAAAACAATTTCTTACACAGCTGGAAAACACTGTTTGGGCCTCTAACCTTAGCATGTTGTGGTAAAACCCAAGGAGTCAAAACTCTAAACAGCTGTCACCGAGATCTAATATTTGGAAATGTTCAGATTCTCTGCGGTTTCCGGCTTAGCAAACAAAATAGTTTTTTACTTTTACTTTAGGCTTCAATGCTATATTGTTGAGCCACTATTTTTCAAACAAATACAGTTAGAATGAAAACATTTAGTGCAAAACAGAGTTGGAATATGATTCCTGCAAGTTTTGTTAAAGAAAATATAAATGTAAAATAAAAAAATTGATCTTGCTTTGGTTGCTGAGAAGGCAATACACCTCACATCTTCATAATTAATGGATGAATATGTATCCTTTACTAATAACTATGATTCTGCTCAATTAAACTGTTAAATTTAAGTGTTTGTTGAAAGGCAGCAAAATAAACAACAGAACAAAGATAAAATACATATTCAAGACATTCAAGATTCTTCTTTTTTTTTAATCTTTTTTTAAGTTTGCATAGTCTTGCTCTATTTTATAGCTTAGGGGGGGGACAGATGTTTAGTGTTGCTGCAGCCATTTTATAAAACATTCTCCCTGTAAGTTTGAAATGTGCCCCTTTACTGTCCACATTTGCACTCTTTTATAGAAGCATCTTTATTCCCGACTTTTGGTAATAGCCCGGCCGTCCAGACTAATTTACTGTATGTTGCGTACAAAACAAAATAGTCTGTACAGGAGCGGAAATAACTTTGACTTTGAGGGCAAAAACATAATTTAAAAGAAGAAAAGCTTTTTCAACAGCCAGTTCTTGACATTTTAACAATATAAGCAGCTGTTTTAGCTGTGTTACAGAACCACCCTGTTGCATTATGGGCCCACCTTCAGCACTGTGATTGGTCTGGTCTGTTTTCAGAGTATTGAGCCTTGCAAGACATGTTGATCAGTTTGGGTGGCCAGGCTATTTTGGTCCCACCTGAGATTTTTGTGTTTACTTATTTTACATTTTATTGTATTCTTAGCTGTCTATTCTGACTTTTTTCTTTTGTTATTTGTATTTTACATTTTTCTCAGTGTACAGTAGTTAAGCAGCACTTTGTTGCAGTCATAATTGTCTTAAGGCGCTTTATATATAATATAATACACTGGCGTCTGCATTTCTTCACATGCTGTTTTGTCAATAGACTATAATTGATTAATGAACATTTGTTTAGTTTAATTTAGTCAATATTTCATTCCTCAAATGTTAGTTTTAGTAGGGTGTTTATATTTTTTTAAATAAAATTATTTGCTTTAATTAACCTTGTGTACCTTTTTATTTGTGATTTTGAAAATGAATATAAAATGTTTATAATTTACTTTAACATATTAGTCCTTACTATGACTTGTTCCTAAGGCAAACTGTGGGGTAAACATAAGCGTGACTTAAGAGGCTCTGATGCTGCCTATTTTGTTTTACACTGCATGTGTGGCTTTCTTTGTTTTATTGTTTTTCTTTAAAAGTGAGTTTATTTTGAACCTTTAACCAATGATGACTTGTTATATCACCACATGATTCATTTGCCAAAAACCTAGTTTCTATTATATAGATTAATTTAATAACTGAATAATATGTTAGTTTCAGACATATAGGATAAAAATTAATATTAACCAAAGAAAAAAGAAACGAACAAACAAGAAAACCATCATATTAATGTTTGCAGTGGGAAAGCAGAATGATGCCTAGAGGAAGGTGCATCCTTTAATGAACGTTTGTTATTTGTTACATTGGATGACACATATTAAAAGTATTTACAAAAACAATCAATTAGATCTTAGAAAAATCTATCTCTCCGTCACAGACTTTAAAGCCTTTGTTAAAGGAATGTGGGCAATAAACAATAAATTACATTTTTACAATTTAAATTACACTTAAAGAAATGTATGGATCACTCCATTCAAATGTTTAAGAAACACCATATTACTAGCACTCTGGTTTAGTTTATGGATTAATCAATTAACCAGAGATTAACGAGACTTTATGTAATATTTTACTGGAAAACATGTTTAAAATAGCCTTTTTATTTGACTATTTATGACATAGTTTGATGATCACACTGACACCTCAGTAGTCCAGGGCTGATCATGAATAACCTTGGAGCTTATTTTCCTGAATTTACCCTCGGTCAGAAGTTCCCGCGCTGTTCTGCGAATGCCACATCAAACGTGTGCAATTTAGATGGTTCTGACCTAGCAAACAATCAAAGCGTTATATTCAAGATGGATTTTGTGGAAACTCAGAAGTGACCAAAGGCAACTTCATACAGGGTGAAAAAAAGATAATAAAAAAAAAAAGCTTGGCAAGTAGGAGCGCGAGCTACGAGATTTAATATAAGAGGGCTGCAGTTCGGTGTTTTGTCCACAGGTGGCAGTGTCATAAGAAAACTCTGTAATGCCTGTTTAACATCTAGAGTGAGATTTGTGAATGAACAATCAGATTATGTTAAGCCAAATTAGTATTGCAATTTTAAAAGATGGTTGTTTTCTACCTTTCTAAAAAGGATAATTGAAATGTCCTCCTAAATATGGATTCTAAATACCCATCTGACTTTTAGAAAAAGTTTCTGAAAGAATAAAGGAGAAGACAAAGGAAGTGCTTTGAGATGTTGCACTCTCCGGTGTTTTAAAGCTTTGTAATCACAAGAAGTACAGTCAGATGCAGTTATTTTTTTTTTTTTTTTTATAAACGACTTGAGTTAATGCTCCAGGTTATTTTTTTACTCCCTCTTTCTCTTGTCAGCCTCGGTTTACAGACAGCTGTTTGTGTCTTTGCATTAAGATTTCCCATCTTCTCTCCCCAGGGGGATCACTGGGAAGAAATGCGGCACAATCATCCTGACAGCAGAAGAGCTCAGCAACTGTCGAGTGAGTCAATTGTGATAATCTCCTAAATATATGTGGGCAAGAAAATATTGGTTTGCAAAGCCTAGTTTAAGAGTCTTCAGCTTAACATGATGAATTAAACACCAAACATCATTAACTGAAAATCAAACCATACAGATAGTTCCCCTTAATTAAATTTAAGGCAATAGAATTTTTTGTGTGAAGGGAAACACCAAATTATTGCCTTTAAAATACATTTACTTTAAAAAGGACATTTTTTTTTTTTTGGTAGTTTTAGACTCTAATTTAAATGCACTGGTAGAATATGGTTGATATGCAAAAACTATAATGTCAGGTACTTCAGTTGAATTCAACTTAACACAAAACTAACCCTGGATTAGAGTGGGGAGATTTGCCAAAAATTGTAAAAGGAATAAAACATGCTATAAATAAAGCAAATACTACAATCCGAGAAAAGAGTCAAGCAAACACAAACATTGAACAAACACACATACACATGCAAAAGTAAAACCAATGAGATCACAGAAAATAGAGAGAAGTAAAGAGGAAATGGGCTGTAGATAAATAAACACACTGCAAACACAAAGTGTGCTGCAATAACATAAATTATGCAAAGGAGAAAAGTTGCAATTATTAAAAAGAACTGCAAGTTAAGAATAACTAAAGGAATTAATGACTTAATTTATAACATTATTTATAATGAATATATGTATTGTATATAATAACATATGTATGATTTAGTTTCAGATTAGGTCTGACAACAGATATGAAGAAGTGAAACATATTAGAAAATCTGAACTTTGGCTCAGCATAATCAAAATACTCCATATCACTGAGGCGGGTCGACCATCAACTACTGTATAAAATAAATAAATCAAAAGAACTCCTGGACGAGGCCGACCCGGGTTCTAATCCGACCTGTGGTCTTTTGCTGCATAGCTCTCCCCCCTCTCTCATATCCCCTTCCCTGTCTGCCTACTATCCATAAAAATGAGCCACTACTGTCGTAAAATAAAAAAATAAAAAATAAAAAAGAATATGACCAACCATTAATCAGAAGTAAATCACTAAACACAGTAACAATGGAGAAAAAGGACGGACATTTTCTGCTGATGAGTACATTTGACTGTTCCTATTTAGACTACATACTATCCATAAAAGGTTTATTAGTTCAACCTAATGTCAAATTATAAGGGACTTACACGTGCGATATGTAGGCATGCGTTTACATTTCAGAAGATATTTTCCCAGGATTAAACGAAGCAAAGAAAAAACAAGCAAAATCAAAATACCAATGTTGCTCCTCTTCCTTTTAATAAATCTGTAAATAAAGAGATCAATATTTTTGTACATTATGAAATATGAAACTACATTTCCTAAAGTCAAGACTCAAACAGGAACACAAGCTTATTCCTTTAAAAGAGGTACAGCAACTCTTCCTCACTTCATGAACTGACTGGGTGTGTAATAAAATGATGAAGAAACATGATGAGGTTCAGTGCTGGGTGCCCTCTATCCCCCTCAGCAGTTGTTTAGTTTCCTCCGCTGTGTATCCTGAATACCACAATTCTAGTACAAAATAAATGTAAGATAGCGAGCAAATTCATGATCATCAACGGTAACAAAGAAAAATTAAAAGTGGAGAGAGTTGAGGAAGCAAATGAGCGCATTAGAAATAGAGAGCTGGAAAGAAATGGGCACCAGAGTTTATGGAATAGAAAGGTGGAAGATCGAACAAGTAGCATGAAAATGAATCGGTTTCATGCCCGTGTAAACCATGTCTTAGCAACAAAAAAAAAAAAAAGAAAAGAAAATGCTCGGCTGCTTTTAGAAGGAGGCAGAACAAAGGTTAATTACCAGGACAAACTGTGTGGCTCTGGTCTCCTGCTGGCTGCTGGTGTTAATTTGTCTCTGTGGTTACAGTATGGCCGACTGGATGAATATATGCGACTGTGGCCAATACACGCTGCTGATGTGCAACTTTCTTTCCACAACTTCCTGCCGCTCTGTTTGGAACATACAAGCAGAACTATGTTTGGCTCGGAATAAAAAGCTTTCTTATATTTCATACTGAGGTCGATGGGAGCGTTTTACAAGTTCAAGTCTAATGACTACTTCGCTGTTCCATCAACACATAATAAAATGGAATTAGACTTTAGTGGGTCCTCCTAAAGGGCTGCTCAGTGGCGCAGTGGGTAGCACTGCTGCCTTGCAGCAAGAAGGGTTCGATTCCCGGCCCGGGGTCTTTCTGCGACCCCACTTGGGACAAGCGTGTCATATAATGGATGGATGGTTCCTCCTAAATATTCTGAACTAAATTCACTGTTAAGATATTTATTTTGAAAGAAATACATCAAAAATAGTGTATCGGTAAGCATTTTATCCTGTCAAGATTTCTGCTTGCAAACATTCCTTCAGCAGATTATTCAATTTACTAAATTCTCTATTTTTCCCCTGGCTGATATTTTTATTACCTGTTATTCAAAATTTGTTGTTTTAAAAAGAGATGCATCAGCAAACCTGGAGTTTTTTTTTTAGTCACAGTAATGCAAAAGAGGACTTTATACATATGCATAATGTTCAAGTGATACTAAGCATTTTTAGCTAAAGGCACATTCTTCTAGAAAATGATCTCCTGCTGATTTGGTGATAAAAGATTCTTTAATATTTTCCTCATTATGCTGCTTAAATCCTCGCTGGAATATAAACAGAATTTCATTTTGGTTTTCTGTACTGCCTGCAGGTCTGGTGACCATTTATAATATTATACTCTAGTTTTTCCTTTTTATATATATAGACTGTCAGGAGTAAGAGGAAGATTTGGGTCACTTGGTTTTACTTTTTCACCATTTTAACTGTAAGGTGAAAAAAATAAAAAGTGAATTTCGTAAAATCTCCATAACCATCTTAAAAAGCGCAGGCATTATTTTCTTGTGCTAAAGAAATTATGCCCTGAATATGTTGGTGTTTTTAATGTTTAGAACAAGATCATTTTTATCAGAAGATCCGGTTATGATCATTTAAAAAAAACCCAGCTGTTGCTGTTTGGTTTGTTTTTTCTGTCTTTCTGTACATTTGGCAGTTAAAAATCCATTTAACACCAACATTTTCCTCTGTTCCTGTCATTTGAAAATGGTGATTAATGACAAAGGGATGTGGTTCAGATATCCAGGTGAGATGGTTCTCATGCACAAATTTGATACAGATATAGAGTTTTTTTTTTTTTATTAATAAAATATTACAATAACAAGACACAACAATGTATGGAAGGTGTATTCATAAGTTAACTAAAAATTGTGCACATATTCCAGAAACAGATGGCTGTCACATGTGGTATTCTGTTATAAATATGTAACTAGCTAATATTTAAAGCTTTGATTTCATTTAAAAATATATATATGACATGAGCACTTATCCTAAATGTTATTTATTGTGATGCTAAAGTACATATGGTTTCTGTGCCTAAACTATTAGTTTCAACCCTGCTTAGCTGCTTAAGTTGAAACTGATCAAAATGTTATGACACTGTTTTTGTAAAATTCTCCTAAACTTTAATTTGAGCTAAGTACACAACTACTCCATAAATCTTGTTAACTCTGGAGCTGACAATTAATTGGATTTGCAATAAAAAGAAATCACAGTTTAAAAAAACAAACAATTTTCAAATCGCAGACGATACTGTACTTTCATTACATTAAATTCCACAAGAACTAAGTCTCAAAATTTTTTACTCCAGCACTTTAGGTGGCAGTAATATGCTTGCAGAGAGCCACCACACAGATATTTGCAAAGAGAAAGTTGCAGTTACTGCATAAATGTATACACGCTATTAGAAGTAAAGTCCTGCAAGAGTGGACCCCTGGATAAGCTAGCTTTCAAAACCATAAAATAACTGAAACCCTGGAGTAAAACATCTACATGCATCTGGTTTGCACAAAGAAAAATGGTAATAAAATTGCAATATTGTTAGAAAATAATCGCAATTTTAATTTTTGACACAATTCTTAAGCTCTGGTGTACTATAGTATTTTTAGTATTGTAGGAACATCAGAATCTGCATCACAGCTGACAGGTCAGACTTAAAGTATATGCAAGAAAGTAGGTCCTATATCACATGATAAATCACAGGATGGATGCAATTTAATTTAGGAGATCATAGGTGGACAAAGGATATTAACAAAAAGAAACTGGTGGCCACTTTGAATGACTGTAATAATGGGGATGTTCTCAAAGCACATCATTTCAGAGCTTCTATGAACCACCACCTCTTATCTCTATGCACTACAATCTTACTGAAAAAGTCAGAAAAAAATCAGAGAGAGAAGCATCTGTATTGAAAAAGACATATAAGATGGCACAAGGATGCAGCTTTGGCTTGTGAAAATAACAAACTTAAAATAACTTAAATAAACTAGCTTCCTTCAAAGACCAGTCCACTATCTGCTTAGGGTGAGCACAAGAAATATCCTGCTGCAAAAACCTTGTTAGGATAAATGTGCAGGTGGAATAAAAGGCTTTAGCTGTGATGAGCCAGTGTATTTGTGTCCTTGTTCATCATACATAATTATATTATTCTATTAATCCCAAGAGCAAATTCTCACTCCCTTCCTTACTCTATTTGAAAATGACTAGTCTTCCTTCCTCCAAGCAAAGCAGACTGTGCACTCTTTTGAACTTTGCATGCTTCTCTTATGTCAGAAGCCCCAAGCAAGTGTACCTGAGCTTACATCTGATTTAATGGCATGGCTAAGGCCAGATCATAACAGGATAGGTGAAAAATAAAACACCTAATGTGTTGCAAAGGTTCAACATTAACCTGATTAAATGTGCCGTAGCAGGACCTCAGAAGAATTGTGCAGGAAAAAAAATATCTACAAACCTCCATAAATTTAGCCCCTTTATGTTGAGAACAGTTGTTTCAATAAAAAAAAAAAAACCAACAAAACTAAAGAAAAAAGATCACCAATCTAAAAGGAATGATAGGACAAATGCAGAATAAGTAATATTAGATGGTTACTTTC